GACTTGGAGGCATTGAGCCTCATCCCGGCCGCTTCGCACTCGGCCGCGAGCCGCGAACCGCTCCAGTGAGAGCTGCAGATCTCGTTCCGATGAAGCCAACAGGACCACATCATCCGCAAAAAGCAGAGATGTGATCCTAAGGCCACCAAAACGGATCCCCTCAACACCTCGGCTGCGCCTAGAAATTCTGTCTTATGATATACCATCAATCTGAAAATAATAACGTACTGTAGATTCATTCTTAACATTGCCTTTATTTCAAGGACCTCTGTAACCACAGACTGGCTGATGTACTGACCTTTGCTGTGGTCACACACCTGCACACATTATAGCTCACACTGGAATCCTTCATTCTAAGGGTCATTAATGTTGCAGGGAACATCTACAACTCTAACCAGGAGTTATGTGAATTCAGCAAATAAGTCAAACTGGAAGAGCTGAATAAAAAAATCAGCAAGTGTGAACACCTGCAGTGTGTCCTAAACTAGTTTCTCTGCAGTACTGCTGAGTCAGCAAAGATATTTTAGGCCCTTTGGCTTTTTTTTTTTTCATTAGAACAAGAACTTATTAGAAGCTTCATGTGATTCTTTTAAAATAGCAGCAAAAAATAAAATAAAATAAAATAAAATAAAATGATATCTTGAAGTTTTTGAACTCACGATTCTTGTAGGGTGCTTTATAAAAATAATTGCTCTCTTCAAGATGAAAATTAGGGATCGCCTGTGACTAACATATTTGTTTTTAGAATTTTAAACGTGTCCACAAAATCTGTGCAACAGAGCAAACAGCCGGTTAAATAATTATTTTCTTCAACCAGTTTATTTCTGAACATAACAGAGTGGGGGTGGAGCTGCAGGGTGGAGGTGAGGGGGGCGGGGTTAACAGCTGAAACACAGAGATGATTAATCTCCAGCTGAGTTGATCAGAGGAAAAACTCTACAATGCGGCTTCATTTTGTGTGTTTGTCAGAAAAACAGTGGGCTATTTTATTATATCTGGTTTCTGTTCATTTTTTAAAGTTAGGTTACTGAAAAACACGCTGTAACAACAGGGTGTAGCCGTTTTTCCTCATTATTTCCCCTTTTTTTCTTTTACTAAATTAATTCCAGGGTTGATATTTGACATTTAAATCAAAATTATTAATATGCAGTTTTGTTTGACACACCAGCAGCCTCAGACCCAAAGTGACCCCATCCCAGATGAGTTTCCACCCTGGAAGTCATTTCATCCCCAGTACCAAACCTGAACAGTCCAGGTCAGCCTGCAGCCAGGTCTGACCACAGACTGACCCTCTTGAGCTCACCTTTGCGTGGTGGAGGTCCACTCCGTACATGGAGAGTTTTTTGGCATTCTCCAAGAACATCAGGTCTGCCTGGGCTGGAGTCATCGACCTGCCGAGAGACCCCCGCCCCACAAAAAAAACAAAAAAAATCATTAAGTAAAGCTTCATAAAAGCAAAACAAAATGTTTATTTTTAAATTTTTCTTAAAACAGCTAATATACTATCACATTAGATTAATACAGAGCTATTCAACTGGTGGGTCTCGGGCCATATCTGACCCACGAGTGACTTCTGTCTGGCCCGCCCCAAAAAGTACTGGGAATTTTTTTCTTTAATTTAATATAAAAACATTTTTATATCAATACTAAATTTTGTGTTGTTGATTTAATACAATATAATAAACAAATTTACAAGATAAAAGATCATTTTACTTGTTTTTTTTCACAATGCAATGTTCCCCTATTATTGTGAAATGTTAAACATCTGGCCCCTGAGCAATTTAGTTGAATAGCCCTGCTTTATTATACACAGACAGTATTAGTCATAAGAAGTAGATTATATTTATATAAGTACTGTGCTGTATTTAGGAGCACAACTGGTTTAATTTAAAGCCCTGTCACACTATGATGTTTTGGACAACTTGTGCATTTTTTTCCAACACGCTGGCACACGATGAGGAAGAGAAATTCAATTCAATTCAGTTTATTTATATAGCTCCAAGTCACAACATACGTTGTCTCAGGGCACTGTACATGAAAAGAATAATGTAAAGAAGAAACCAGCAGATTGTGTTGAATCACTTCATCACAGTCTCCCATCCTGAGCAAACAGTGGAGAGGAAAAACTCCCTGCTAATCAGGAAGAAACCTCCAGCAGAACCAGGTTCAGGACAGGAGACCATCTGCCTCGACCGGCTGGTTGGAGGACAGGAAAGAGAAAAAACACTATACAGTATCAGTCAGACTGAGTTTTAAAATGTGAAAAAGAATGAGCAGAGAGCAAAACAAAGCTGGAAGATATTTAAAAAACAGCTGTCAGAAAAGATGATCCACAGAAATATTCTCATGCTCCACCTGAGAGGACGAGGAGGGCACAGGAGATTAATCTGGTGGTCTTTAAAACAGAAACCTGAGCCGCTGCAGCGACATCGATCAACAGCTGAGTGTGATCTGGCACACATGGAGCGTTATTGTGCCACAATTTGACCATCAGCCTCGGAGCGCAGCGGCCGCAGAGCGCCTGAAGCCCACTGAAGCCCACAGCCTGGCTCGGTTGAGAGTCGCGCTTTGGGTAGGTTACTCATGTGCGCAGCTGTGGAGGTGTTTATACTTGGCAGTGCTTACATTGTTATAGTTTTCTCCAAAAGGACACATGGAAGTATACTTTACGTTTGTGAAATGTTGTAAACAGGAGATCGAGCAACAACTGTTTGAATGGTGCGCAGCCTTTGGGGAAGCCCACCCAGATCACTGTGCGGCTCCGCTCAGCTGCACATGACGCTGCCTTGCTTTACATTTGAGAATTAAACAATACTTACAGCAAAAAGCACATTTGTTGGTACTGATCAGGATTAAAGTAAAGGCGTGGCTTTTTTTACTTGTTTATTTTTTTATTTTTTTGCACCAGAATCTGCTGTTCTGTCAAAGTGTCAGGTTTAAAGTTGATCATAAATATCTGAAATTTTAAATTTAATACAGAATTACAAAATTTTTAATAAGGTTCTGGCAAAATAAACTTGTTTGTATTTGAAACCAGACTGGGACATTTATGATCAATGCATTTATTGATGAAATGTGAAAAATAAAATGTTTTTTTTTGCATCAATTCTGTTGATTTAGGTTGGTTAGTTTACCTGTATTATCAATATGTATAATCGTTATGAAAAAGTTAAATTGGTTTTTACACGAGCCTTAATTGACAGTAGCTACTCAGGGGTTTAAAAAGTTACTGCTGCCTTTTTCAGAAAAAAAGTCACTGATGATGAAGAATTAATTAAACTGAATAAACTAATAATATTTGGTATCGTTTTCTACTGAAGTGACAAAAAAAAAGAAGTGTCCTGCTGGTGATGGACTTACCATATTTATTCATGTATAATACGATCTCATGTATAATACGACCCCCCCAAGATTTTTCAGCCTTTGCAGTTTTTATACATATCAGTAAAATGATCATTGGACTGTTCATTTTATTTTAACAACATATGTACTAAAAGGTATTTCGACAACAAATCTACTGTATATCAGCTGTAGCAGCATCATATGAATTCTGGCATTTTACACATAGTCCACCAGGAGGCGCCAACACAAAAGTCAGAGACTTCACATGAGATTTGGYCCATCTTSTGGGGGAAAAGCAGATTACTTCCTACTCGRGAGCGCCCCCTCTGGTGGGGAAACGTTTTTTCAGGGATACAAACTTTTTCAGAACACCGGTAGACGGCAGCCATTACAGACGAACATGTTTGTTGTTGTTCGAGGAGCGGCTCGGTCACACGCTAATGTCATTAGTTTGTTATCATTTCTAAGGTGCAGGACTGCTTTTTTCCCCCCTTTTTTCACATCATGTCTCCTGCCTGGATCTGTTATTATCTCACTCTGAAGCACAGAGGAGTGTCAGAGGTGAGCTCGCTTCAACTGCTTTTTACGACGCGGTCTCATTTCCGGACTCAATAATTTTGTGAACGAAGCCAATATTTCAGTTAAAATACATAAGTAAACATATTTATCTGAGTATAATACTACCCCCAAACTTTATGGATGATTTTATGGATTTAATTTTACATATTATACTTGAATAAATATGGTATATCACTCATGAATAAGAAATTAATAACTTGCCTGAAACATATGTGAACTGATGCATAAATTATCCGTAGCAGACCTGTAACTTTTGCWTCACTTATCAGCAGCACGTCGGCATTAGCTGACACATTTTGACCATGTCCAGAATTATTGTCCGACCATCATTCTGACAACATATTCACAACATATACATAACTTGTGCAACTTACAGCAACGTGTTGGACAAAACTGGCATAAGTTGTCTAAAAGGTCATAGTGTGACAGGGCCTTTAAACATGTTTTCCTTCAGGCCACTTCACTGGATTTACTCTGCTTTCACACTTTAGTACATCGGAAGGAGTTTATTCTAAAGAGTTTAAAATTCTGACTTCACAAGCATCAAGTTTTACTGTTATTCCATTTTTCTACCTTCATTCAGGTTGTATTCTAACAAGGCTGACTGACCTGTACGTACGATGCAGCTCCATCATTTTATCCTCCAGCTCTTTAGTCTGACCAGGGGCTATTTTCATGTCCTTGGCGTATTCATTTCCATGGACCTCAGGGTCGTACTCGCCCAGCTCTGACTGCAGGGCGTAGGAGCCCAGCAGAGCCAGCGTGACAAAGGAACAAGGCAGGCGGCCCTGCAGGATGTCTTTTCTCAGCTGTAAGCACAGGTAGTATCTGGGAAGTAAAAGTACAACACAGTGATCATGAAGGGGCAGATTTTTCTCTTATCAAGATGAAATGAAGATAAGGAGACGTCGCGGTTGGCCAGCTGATGAGGGAGTTTTATTGAGTTCAGCAGATCAATACAACCGACAGAATCATCCCAACTGAACTGACGTATTTAGAAACCAGACCCTTTTATACCCAAACTGTTTTCYTAACACAAATTCTACGTAACCAGGAAYGGTGGTCACTTCCAAGAATTGGGCTGGAAATTTAAGACCACCCAATACACACTTATTAAGTCTATTTGTAGACCGTTTGATGATCTCACCTTTTACAGAATGTTCTTACCAGATGTTTATACGACCCTTATCCTGACCTTTTGTCCCAGCTCCTAACAAGTACTGCTACAATCCTCAACAATCACTGCATGTTGTCAGGTTACCAGGTGCAGATCCTCATTCATCCAGAAGGTGGAAATCTGATTTTTTAATAAAAGCCAACTGGATGTTTTGTAAACTCTCATCCCCCCAAAAAACCTGCTGACCCCAAATCAATATTATACATACGGTTCTGATAACGTAGGATTATATGAACATAAAAACTTATTATTTTACAATCCAAAATTATTAAATTTGAAGATTTGGTAGAGTTCAAAATTGCTCAAATCATGTTTAAGACTTCAAATAAATTATTACCCGAGCCCATACAGAAATTGTTTCTTGAGAATGACGGGACATATAATTTAAGGGGTTATCTAAATTTAAGGATTCGTAGGATACGTACAACAAGAAAGAGCTTTTGTATTTCAATTCATGGCGTCAAACTATGGAACAAACTAAAAGAGGGCTTAAAAAAAGTCAAAGTTTAATACAATTTAAAAGAAAATATGAGGAGGCTATTTGTTAAGATAAAAAATATGGGTGAGTGGGTGTATAAATGTGTATATGTCAGCTGATAAGCGTACATGATTGTACGTGTACGGCTGGATGAATATATGTACTTACTATAAATATGTGTGTAGTGAGTCTATGCCAAAAAAGGCAACTATGAAATGGAAATAATTTAATTAATTTCGATGTTTGCTCAGGTGCATTAGATTTATGTGATTATGTAATCTTTAATGTGTAGATATAAGGAGTGATTGCATTACAAAGTGTTGTACAAGGGTAAATATAAATTTACACTGTAATTTTATGATTTACTAAGTTAGCCTGAGGTGTATTATTATTTATTATTATATATTACTGAAATTAGCACGGGGTAGGAGTTTATACGTTTTTTTTACTTCTTCCTACTCCATTTTGAACATGTTGAGATTAATATTGCTATAAAAAATATGTGTATTCTGCATTTAATATGTTCAAGTATGGTTATCACTTTGTTCGAAATAAATTTGATTGATTGATTGATTGATTGATTGATTGATTGATTGATTGATTGATTGATACCAAGATTCTGCTCAACTTCATGCTCATCTGTTGTGCTAAAAATAAAGTATTCACTAAATATAATAATAAAAGCAAAATTAGATGCAAACAATGAAACGTGTTATTAAACAATCTCAGGTTTGCGAGCAAAACTGTGCAAAATGTGAGGACAAAGTTACGTTAGTGGAAAATTTGCTCCTAGGATTAAACATTTAGAAAGTGAGCAAAACAATAAAAATATTTTAGTGACTTTTTTGAACGGTGAACTTAAACGAGGGACCATTTTATATTGTTTTTCAGGTCTAAATAACGAGTTTATAAAACAAACCCATATGGAAAAAATAAAGTCATTTCAAGTTTGATAGCAGATAATACATAAAAAAAGGTTGAGGGAAAAATGAGGCTGTAAACATCTTTATGAAAAAGAAACAGCTGGAGGAGCATTCTGCAGCTTATCAGATTAAATGGTATCAAGTCAGTAAGAGGAGTGGGTTTGATGAACCTTAGAGGCTGAATCAGTAAAGACTAACAAACTGTCTAAAATAGTAGAAGTTCAAAATATTATGCTTTAATAGAAAATTGGGAAGAATTTGAAGATTCCATCATCATAGTTTATAAGATCATCAGAATATTAGAAGAATCTGGAGAAATATTAAAATCAAGGCTGACTGTTAATATTGGGAGACCACCATCACCAGGCTCTCAGGGACCACTGCGTTAAAAACAGGTCTGATTCTGATTCTGTTCTGGACATCACTGCAGGAATGCTTCCACCAGTCACCGTATGTAAACTGTTCACTGGGCATCAACAAGGTTAAAGCTCTATCATGCAAAGAAGAAGCCACCCTGACACACCACCTTCTTCTCTGGACCTCAGCTCATAATGGACAGGATCAAAGAGGACAACTGTTCTGTGGTCAGAGGAATCAAAAATTCATTTAGGGAAACCTCAGATTTCATGTTAGGTCCTTCTTGGGTCAGCTCCTCTCCTATTGGTCAACAGACAGGAAGGAGCAGGATGCATGTGCAGATCCATTGCATGCTGTGTGTGCTAAATATGAAGGTTTATTAAATTATAAAACACGACGTAAAGTTCTCCATTTTTAAATTAATAGCCTATATGCCACGGACATCCGGCCCAGCACTTGATGCCACGCCCAACACTTCCGGTTCACGGTCAACACAGTGTTAGCGAAAGATTTTTTTCACCCGACAACGACTGTTAATGATCTCCACAGTACAGAATTATCATATTACATGTACCAACATTAACACAGGAGACGTACAGGTCCAGCCAAGTCGAAAAAAATCACTCCAAAGTGGATTAAAGCCATAAAAACAAAGGAAAGACGTTCGTGTTTATGGTTCCAGAATTTAGCCTTTTTCACTATTCCGTGGCTTCTTGTTCCGTGAATTTTTCACGTAGAGCTGTGACACTTATATTGTTGGAAAGAGCAGAGTCTGGGCTTTAAATCGATGTGCTACTTGTAAGGTTTGGATCGTTTTCCTCGACGTTAGTGAACTGAAAACGTAATGATTATCAGGCGGAGGTTCTGCTGCTCTCGGTGCTCGGGGGCGCTCGTCACTCGGCTCTAGTCTACGCTGTAATATACACTCTAACAAGTTTTACTTTTGCATAAAACTCATGACAAAGTCGCATAAAAACATTTCATATAACACAAACGCACGCACACACACCTACCTTTGTACCGGCTGCTGTGTTAGCTTACTGCTAGCTGTCATGTGGAGGAGGTCTTTCCTCTCTCGTCTTGGCAGTAAAGAGGGATAAATGTACATTTCCCTTTTGTAACCTCCGTCTTCTCATTTCTGATGCTGACTCTTGAATATCCTCAGGTTAGAAATGCTGATTACAAACGCAAGCGTGAGCTTTTAAAGATAAGTTTTCCCTGTAATGCTATGATCCTCTGCTGTCACCTCCTCATCAAGAGGAAAATGGATAAAAACTAACTACTCGATCGTACCTGCTGGTTAGTGGACACAACGGCACACAACAGAACTCAAGTTTTATACCAGTAGATCACAGATGCTTTAACTTTTGTGACTTTTTCACGGTCTAGTACTAGCAGCTCACGGTAAAAACATAGGCAGTAAGCAGGGAGTGGAAGGGAGGAGCGTGGCAAGAATTTTACCGGAAACACGTCATTAATGACCGTGGCATATAGGCTATTGGTGCATCTCAAGTATATTCATTTATTTATTGGGCCATTTATATATTTCTGCTTTTACTTCTAATTATGTCAGTTTCGATCCTCCATAAAAATGACCAGACTGTCCCTTTAAAAGTAGCCTTGGATTTAGTAATCTGGGTATCAGTTAATGTAAACCCAAGCTGCCTGCGCACTCTTTATGGTCTGTCTTTTCCAGAGTCGGGCATTGGATCACTGAGCCCTCTGGTGGTGGATGGGTTTCCTGCAGCTCCCATCCAAACTCATGTTACCACACAACACGTTTCTGTTAAAAACGACCAATAACATTATTCTACCTGCTTTAGACAAACATCACTGATGTCTAAGCGTGATAAGAACATCGGTGGTCAGTAAAATGTATCACTTCAACCCATACAGTACCTTGTTATGTCTTCTGACAGCTGGGCTGGATCCGGTGGATAGAATTTCACATTAAAAGTGAAATTATAGTTGTCACCTAGAGAATCAAAAGGTGGGTGTTTTATAGTTAGCAAATGTTTATATGGATGTATTTGAAAGAAAAAGAAAATTGTCTGTGGATCAGCTCACCTTGAACCTGCCTGCGAATCTCTTTCGTCAGGTCCATCCAAGTCTGAGGAAAACAACAACAAAGAGGAATTAATATCTGACTACAAAAAAATAAAATAAAATAAAATAAAATAAAACGCCAAGTGTAAAATAAAATGTTACAAAATATAACTAACATATGTTCATTATTTAGCTCACTGTCAAATCAAGTCAAATTTTATTTATATAGCACATTTACAACAACCTCAGTTGTCCAAAGTGCTTCACAACAATCACATCACATTTGACTAAGGATAAAACAATACACAGACACACGCATGCACACACATAAAATTACAATAAAAATTAAAATTTGTTAAAAAATAAAAACAATAATAACCTCAGTCGACCAAAGTACTTCACAGCAATCACATCATATTTGGCTAAGGATAAAACAATACACACACACACACACACACACACAAACACACACATACAAGTTTGCACAGCTATCCAATTGGGGACATTCCATTGACTTCCATTACATTTCTACAGCCTAACCCTGACCACAAACCCTAAGGCTAACCTCACAGGTACCTGACCCTAAAACTAACCTAAACTCAATTCACACCTTGGTCCTAAACCCAACCCCCAACCCACCCTAAATTGGCATTTAAACCAAATGGGGACTCGACTTTTGTCCCCAAATGTACGCTTGTTCCCAAATGAAGGCATTTTGTCTTAAAATTGCCCCCAAATGT